CAAAGGTATATAAAGTCCATGAGGAAACACCCGAGATTTAGCTCTTTTACAAGTTATGCATCGACTACAAATCCGTTCCACATCAACTTTCATTTTAGGCCAATAAAAGTGTTCAGTCAATATCTCCAAAGTCTTTTGCTACCCCAAAGTGACTCATTAGTCCCCCACTATGTGCTTCCCTAACCAACAACTCATGCATAGAGTAATTAGGAACACATAATTTATTTTCTTGAAACAAGTACCCCTCATACTTAAAGAACTTATCTATAACCCCCTTATAACATGATTTGTAAATGTTGGAAAAATCAAGATCATTTTCATATATGTCCTTAACGTACTCAAAATCAAGTAATTTTGCATTCAAGGAAGTTAGATGCACATACCTTCGTGACAATGCATATGCTACCACATTTTCCTTGTTTTATTTATAACGGATGACATATGGAAAAGTTTCTATGAATTCCATCCAACATGCATGTTGTTTGTTCAACTTACCTTGACCCTGCAAATATTTTAGTGACTCATGACCAGTATGAATTACAAACTCCTTTGGCCATAAGTAATGCTGCTATGTCTCCAATGTTCGAAGAAGTGAATATAGCTTCTTGTCGTAACTAGGATAGTTGAGAGCTGCACCACTTAGCTTTTCACTGAAGTAGGCAATCAATCTCTTATCCTGCATTAAGACTGCTCCAATACCTATTCTTGATGCATCACACTCAATTTCAAAAGTTTTGTCAAAGTTAAGAAGTGCTAAAATTGATGCTTTACACAAACAATCTTTGATAGTGTTGAATGCATGCTCTTGTTCTGCCCCCCATTGAAATTGCACATTCTTTTTGACAATTTTTCAATTAGTGATATGGTAATTATGCTAAAGTCTCTAACGAAACGCCTATAAAAGCTAGCCTATCTATGAAAGCTCTTAACTTCAGTTACGTTTTTAGGTATTGGCCAATCTTTGATAGCTTTTATTTTCTCTTCATCTACCTCTACACCATTAGTACTAACTACAAAGCTTAGAAAGATAAACCTATCCATGCAAAGTGTGCACTTTTTAAAATTGGCATAAAGTTGTTCTTTCCACAAAACAACAAGCAAACACCTCAAATGTTCTACATGCTCATTAAAGTCCTTACTATAGTTCAAAATATCATCAAAATAGACCACCAAAAATTTTTCAATGAAAGCACGAAAACATGATTCATTAAGCGCATGAAGGTGCTCGGTGCATTTGTAAGCCCAAATGGC